CTGGTTATGGATTTCAGATATTGATCAAGCAGGAGCAGTTGTCTAGAAGAACTCCTTGCAGGAGGAGTGTGGCCCCATTCAAACCCAGATGAATTCTGTGTGAACACTACCTTCGTGTTGCTCAGATTCAGTTTTAGATTCTTTTTGTTTTATCCAGTTTTCTCAGAGTTTGAAAATTGTATGAGGATTGTCACTTCAGCACAGCTTGGAATGGAAATATATAGCTGATGCCTCACCCAAACTGATGGATGACCTCTTCCAATGGTTTCATATAGATATTAAATAACATAGGGCAGTGGTCCAAGCCTTGTAGCATTCCACAATGAGGGCTCACCATTCCTCATCCATCACTACCAACTGGAATAATCCACTTGCCCTGCAGGTGGCATCACCAAATTTGAAGAGGATTATAAGCTTGAATGAATCCCAGATGACTGCAAGGCCCATAGTGCTAGCTATGATTTACATCTAGCTTTTACATCAGTTTTCAGTCTGGGGGTCTTTCTGGACCCACAGCTCTTGCTGGAAGAACAGGTGGAGGTAATGGCCAGGAGAATCTTTGTCAATTCTCACTGGTTTGCCAGTTGTGGTCTGACTTTGAATGGGACACACTGGAGATATTCACACTGTCACCCTGTGTTTGAAGTACTGCAATTTGCTCCACATGGGACTGCCCTGAAGACCACCCAGAAACCTCAGCTGCCAGTATGTTAACTGGAGAATCGCAGTATTGTCATATAGAACCATTGTTATTGGAGTGTGTTGGTTACTTGTTTTATTTCTGAAGGCAATTGAAGCTGCTGGTTATTGCTTATAAAGCTCTATATGGCTGGGAGTCTACATTCTTAGAGACCATTGTACATTCTGACCACTTGACTTGGATAAGTAAAGAGTGCCTGCTGAAGGTCCCTTCCTATCAGGAGGTCCAACAAAGGGTAGGCATTCTGAGTGTTAGTTCTCCTTTGGAACAACATAGCTCTGAGGCAAGAATGGCATTACTTTCATAGCCATCCAGAGATTTGCTAAGACCTGGAGATTAAACAGCTGGAGTAAAATCCATGCTAAACGTAAGATGTTTCTCAATCTTTGGATTGAGATAGATTGTAAATCTTACAAATAAACTAAAATTTGCCCAGTCACAGAATCATAGTGTTGGAAAGGCCAGATGTAGGAAGACAGGAAGCAGAAGGCACAATGGCTTTATTTTCTATATAAATCTTGTTTAATAACCAAGTGATTTAGATAGAATCTCTCTTGCTTCCAGGGAGTGAGCCACTGGCTGGCTTGCTTTTATTAAAGCATAGCTCCTAGTCTTTCTATTAGATAGTGTTATTTTTCAAGCGTATCTTCTGTTCTTGCTTTTGGCATCCATACCACCATGCTGCCGGTATGTCCCTATATTTCTTCCTCACTCCCACAAAAAGAAAGAAGATAGCACCATTGCCCTGGCAGTAACCTCAACTACTTGAAACCAAGTTCTGGCCTTTAGCTTCTCACACTTACATTTGCATGCAGTGCCACAGAAATATATTAATGGGGGGAAATGGTAGGTTTCTACAAGCCGGGGCTTTAATGTGAAGTGTGTCCTGCAACCCATGAAAGGTGGGGTAGGGAGAAACAGCTGGGTGTCATTGATTACAGTAGGATACGTACCAATAAACAAATTGTTGGCAATGTCATGGAAGACCAGGCAAGTCCTAGAAATATCATTGGGGGACCTCGATTAATCAGAGCAAGGATGGGTAGGAAATATTAGTGGGATTTGTGATGAAATAGATGCACCAAGGTTGGGGAAGTGCAGTTGAGATAAATAGGAAAGATGAATGGATAGTACGGCAGGAAAGAGGGAACCATGGGTAGGAAAACCAGAGACAGGAGAATGACAGTGGCAGGCCAGGGTTTCCCTGTGGCTGGTGAGAATTACAAGTTGGCTTGGTGGTGTGGAAGAGAAAGATAAACCGGGAAGAGGAATAGAGAAGCCAGAGAAAAAGAGCAAAACCGCTGAAAAGAATATCTTCCTTTTTCCACCCCTCAAAGCATAGTGCCAGCAAAGTTGCTTTCCTAATTCTATGTTGCTGCTATTCCAACATGCAGCAATGGGTCTTCTCTACACGTTTCGCATATAACAACCGTGCTTAAGTTTTTATTACCTTAGTTCTATAATGTTCAGAGATATCTACATTGTCCATGGAGAAGTTTAATGAAGTGGGCTCTGAGAACATTATCTTTGGCTGTGCTTGTTCTGGGCATATGGTGTAGTTTCTACAGTTTTTGTAAAAACAAAACTGTAAATGTGTTTGAAGCCTAACTGGATGGCTGCCTCTTCTTACTTCCATAAACATAATGGAAAGCAACTTAGGGCGAAAAACACAATGCTAATTAAGAGTTTCAATTTGTTAATTTTCTTAGTTTGATGAGAAACAGATGCTGATTTTCAAGAGATATCTAAATAGATTCTCCTAAGAGTGCTTTTATAGTTAGAGTTGTAAATTGTAAAAATAGTTCAGAATGAAATAAAACTTTATGCATATTCTATCTTAAATGCATTAAATTCCACTTATGGTTTTATAAATATTATAAATATTTAAAGATATTTTTAAAATAATATGAATAGGCTACTTGATCGAATTGGGTTCATAATGGAAAGTCCACATGCCTGCTTAGCCACAAATACATGGTATGCTGACTTCTGGGGAAGAAATGATGGACTGAAGATGGCTCCGCGAAAAGTGGAGCCAACATCCGCAGCGGAATGAAGAGCTGGCGAGTAGACCAGCTCTTCGATAATTCCTCTCTGGACAAGGAGGGGACTTGAGATTGCCCACAAGTGCTCCAGACAGTTCCTCCTCATGAGGAGATCATAAGACAATGGTCTCTGGCAGGTGTAGAGCTCTGGGAGACGAGGGAATAGCCATCTTGCTCAAACCGTGGTCAACACCTTTGAAAGGACACTGGGTTTGTATGCTTCCTTTTCTAATCACTTTCAGAAATTGCTTGTTAATTGCGTTTCAGCTATTAAGAACCTTTGGATCAACATGTTTTACAGCATCGGGTGAGTTTCCTTCAATCCTTAGCGAAAGAAGTTTTAAATATAAGTTTAAGGACTTAAAAAAAAATGCATGGTATGCTCAGGGGAATAATAAAGCAAGAATGATAGAACTGTATGAAGCTTTTAAGTATAAATGCAATAATTTCTGCAGACCTCTGTTTGTGATGTTCAGCCAGATATAGTTGGTTCTAAAGCTGTACTAACATACAGAACCCTGGAAAACCGGACTAATACAAAGAATAAAATAGCTTTAATAAAGCATATCTCATTTCAGTTTTGCTATGGAAAGGCAGAAATACTCTTTTCTCTTGCAGTTTAATATCTTGTGTACATGTTCTGGGCTAAGTGGTATAGTATTAGTTAGTGGTTTGGAAGGTAGCAGTTGTTATTACTTGGGAACTCAAAATTTGCTTCACTGTAACCAAATTGGAGAATATGAGGACTTCATTGCTGAATGCATGATTAGTATGTGCATACATGAATGTCAGTTGGTAGGTCTGACATTCTTTCTAGCCTGATACCATTTGGGATTTTCTAAATCATTGCACTTAACCTTTCATCAGATTTGTTATATGAACTGGAGCAATGAGAGAAGCACATCTTCAGTGACTGAGCAATTCAAAAATTAGACGTTTTAAAGATGCTCAGAAAGGTTTATTACAACACTGTGTTCTCCATTTATAAACTTCTGCCTTCATATGTGGATTACACTATTACAAAGCATGTACTTCAGTACATATTCCTATGCTTATATACAGCTGATAGAATGAATTTTGTTTGGTTCATCATTCTGAAGCTTTTTACTATTCGTTAGACATTCTGAAGTTTTGAGAAGCTGTTATGAGGTGAATATTTTATGGTTTTAAAATGCTCCACATTCAAAGAAATACTTCAGGGATGCATGCAACATTCCATGTATGAAAAATTCTATGTGCATAACACTGGTTTGGGGTGGTCAATAATACCTAGACTGAAATATGATATTTTAGATGCATTGGTCCATATACAGAATGACATTGGGTTATTGTATTCTGGATATGACCAAAATACAATTGTTTTGGGCAGAGGAGCTGGTGGGAAATGCCCCGTTGAGAGCCTGTTCTTTACTGTTGAGACCATTGCAAGAAGAAATGGCCGCACAGGCCAGTGGCCGCAGTGGTTGATGGGAGGGAGGGAAGGAAGAGAAAATGCTATGAAGATGGAGTGACCCCTAGTCATGGGGAGGTGGAATGACACATTTCAGCTTTGCTCTGCTTGCTCCAGGTAATCATTCTGGGATCTCCTCAAATTTTGTTTCAGCCAACTTGTGGTCAAACTGAAAATTCAGTAGAATTGCTGGGACACAATAGTTTTTCTGGTTTTGAAACAAAACATATTTTCCATTTCATGCACATCCATAATTGCATTCAACTTATACAGTGAGATGGGCAGCGTATAAATTTGATTAATAAAATAAAAATAAATAAATCCAAATAAAGTGATAAACTATAGTTTCAGCATGACAGGTCCAAGCTGCAGTAAACTTTCGAGCTGTGGTTAACATTAACTATGGTGTGTTGAAACTATTCTGTTTTATAAAATAGGATTTGGTTAGTTTATTTGATCTAAACACATGTCATTAGCTAACTACCATTCATTGTTCAGGATGACACAAAATGATGCTGTGCTAAGTAAAACTAAGTAAAAGCCTCTGAAGTCTTCCCAGTAACATGGAGGCAGAGTGAAAGTGTGTGTACTTGAAGCTTGCTGCTGCTCAATTACGTTAAACTGTGTGTTACTTTTTATCATTTTCATGCATGTTTTCCTTTTTAATCCTCAATATCTTTTTTTAATCATATAATTTTCACACCTCTATAGAGTTAATCTAGATTTACTTATTTATGCATAGTTGCCTTAAAAGAACTTCCACTTAAAACATTTTCGGTCAGTATTAAAAATACGATTGTTTTAGCTTCCAGAAACTGAAAAGCTGAACATTGCAGATAAGCTAATAAATGCAACTCCTGGATTTGGTCAGAGTGAACTAAAAAATGTCTTCTATAAGGTAAGCAAGCAGATGGCATCTGTGATGATATTTAGAATAAGTTACAATTCTCTATCATTCTCTTAGTTTTTCTTTTTTATTTCTATTCAAATGAGTGGTTTTGGTATTTCATATTCCAGTTCTTTCTTTTTGTAGAAAATGTTTGTCTCAAAGGACATGGGTGATTGATTTACAGGTAGTTGTCGAGTTATGATGGCAATTGGGGCCGGAATTTCTGTTACTAAGTGATGCGGTCATAAAGCTTGATGTTACGTGACCGCATTGCTTAGCAATGGCAATCCCAGCACTCCTTGTTGTCATTGTTAACCAAGTTCCGCCAGTCGTTAGCCGAGGACCCACCCTGATCCAAGCCATTCCTGGCTTGGTCTCTCCCAGCCCTGAGCCTCGGTTCTTCCAAGATAAGGGACTGCCTCCCCTTCAACTCCCCTGACTGCCTTTTATTCCCATCTCTGCCCTTTTGACCGCCCTGCATCCTGCTTTGCAGGGCAACAAGCAGCCTCAGAACCATGCAGCTCTGTGGCTGCTTGCTATGCTGCGGCTCTGGGGCTGCAAGAAGCCCCTGAGCCACCGTGCAGCGTGAAGCCATAGCCACCCTGGGAAGCTGCAGCCACCACAGCCTAACCCAGCAGTGCAGCACGAAGCTGCAGCCACCCCAGCCTGGCCCAGAAGCATGGCACAGCATGGTGTGAAGCCGCAGCCACCCTGGGAAGCCGCAGCTGCTTCAGCCCAGGCCAATCCAGATGCAGGAGCAAGAAGACAGCGAAGGTCAGGTGGAGCGCAGGGCTGCAGGGGCCGCGGACTACGGGGGCTGAAAGGGCACAGATGGGGGGAGATAAGCAGGTGGGGGAAGTTGAAGGGGAGGCAGTCCCTTACCTTGGAAGAAGCACTCTGCAGTCATAAGTGCAGGTGGGCTGCCAAGCACCCGAATTTTAATAACGTGACCATGGGGGTGGTGCAACGGCTGCAACTTCGGGGACTGGGCATAAGTATCATTCATTCAGCGCTGCCATAACTTTGAAAGGTCGCTGAACCAGTGGTCGTAACATGAGGAGTTCCTGTACTGATCGATATACTAACACTATAGTAAACTCAATGTCTGGGCAAATAAGTGGATGAATACTTTCCCTGGTATTGAAAGTGCAATATCAGGCTATTGAAATGTATCTTATGTTTATGAAAGAGTTGCTCTTTGTCTCAAGAAGCATTTCCTGAAACTTGAACTTACAAGTACTACTTCACATCTGCTTCACAGAGCTAATTAATATATTTAACAAGGTCATGTATCCTACTTCAGGAAGTGGGCTTGATTGCTTTGAGTTCTAGAAATAATTTAGAAATAATTTTAAGGTCTAAAAATAACAGAAAATCTTCTTCAGTTGTAGAAAATCTTCTTCAGCTCCTATATATACATATACTGAAAGTGTGCTTTCCTATGATACAATTCTAACTTCCTAGAGATTGTGTGTAATATCCCAACCATATTTATGTAGCTGTATCCATTGGTCTCTTTTTGTCTCAGGAGAGACTCTATCAGAAATGATGTGCTACTAAAAGACCATGGAAGATCTCAAATAAATTAATATATTGGGATGTATTTGCATGTTAATCAGCATATTTAGTTTTAAATGTTTATCTTTTGTGAAATGAAAAGAAAACATCTGATCAGGATCTATCTATCTATCTATCTATCTATCTATCTATCTATCTATCTATCTATCTATCTATCTATCGTATTTATGTAGCCGCCCATCTAACATAAAAGTGAATGTGTAGCGTACAACAATTAAAAAGAATAAATACATAAAAATAATTACAAGTAAAAATAATTGTATTTGTAACTATAAAAGAATCTGCAATCATGTCAACTTGTATAGAAATTCATGTAGTTGTAAAAATTTTTTAACTCAGTCTTCCCTAACCCAGGGTGTATCAGGACTGGAGTGCCCAGAATTTCCAGCCATCATTGCTGATAGAGTTACAGTCCCAACATATCCAGTGGCAACTAGACTTCTATATCACATGCCTTGAAATGAAAATTTTCTTTATTGGGTTTTTTAAATGGTAGTATTGATTTATTTTAATCCTCCAGATGCTTTGGACTACAAACCCCATCACTCCTTCTCTACAAAGCCAAATGACATACTGGCTGGGTGGTGATAGGTGATTAACCAACTCTAGGCTGGGTGAGGGTGATTTATTGGAGTTTTAAATAGTGTTTTGTGTAATTAATTGAAGTATAACTGTAGCCTATTCCTTTATTGATCATACTTGCTTTTTTATATAGGTCCCTTTCTGCGATGCTGTGGATTTAGTTCGTGTGAGGAAAGTCTACTTGCTTAGTGGATATGCCTGTGTACCTCAGCAGGATTTTGTTACCATTGTCCTGAACAGTTACAGAACCAAACTATCAAAAGCTCTGGCAGTACGTATTTTTTTCTTCCTAATTTGCTCTGCTCTCTTATGATTTCTTATTTGTTTTCAGTTCATAAACGGCAGCCTTGTATCCAGTCAGGAAAAGACTGATTTCAGTCGGGTACAGATTTAGCTTATAGCATCGAAGTATTTTAAGTTTAGAAATATTAGTACTTATGTGCAAAATTTTCTACTGTATGTATGAACCATTCTGTATACAGGTTTAGGATGATCTGTGTCCAATTCATATTTTTAGCATTTGGTCCATATACAGAACAAAATGGCATTGTTTTAATCCAGGAAGGAGTGATGGGGTGGGGGAGGGGGAGAGCAGGGAAAAAGCCGAGGGCATTGGTAGTGGAGAGGAAGAAGGGAAAGGAAGGTGCTGGGAAGATGAGGGTGGACAGGTTGATGGGATAGAGTGGACTGGGAGCTGCTGAGGGGAGACTCACTCCTCCAGATTTTACTTCATCCAACCCTGGAACATTCAAAGCATTCCAGGTTTCAGTTCTGCCAAACCATGGAAGATCCGAAAGGGATTAGAACAGCTGGCTGGGGAATTCTGGGAGTTGAAGCCCATACATCTTAAAGTTGCCAAGTTTGAAAAACACTGGTTTAGAAGAACTTCTGGAAACACAATATTTTGTTCCAGGTTCAAGACAAAACATTTTTCCTGTTTTGTGCACATTTATAATAAACTCTTTATTCTTTTTACATAACGCTTTACTTCTTATTGTTTTACTATCCTTTTACTGTACAATATATAATTAGAGCCCTTCTGTTAGTGGTCGCATTAATATTCACAATAATTTTTTATGATCATTTTTAATACTAACCAGTTCACTTTTGTTCCAGTCAGCTTTGTCAAAATTTGAAATCAAGGTATAAAAACGGTTAGAGACAGTGGTGGTATATTGAACCTGAAGTATAGTTATTAAGCACCCTATTATTCTTGCTGATGTACTGTAATAAATCTTTGCTATTGGGGAATGATCTATCCCTCATAAACTCTAATTAACATCTTTATACAGTAATAAGCTTTAGATGGCCAGAATTTTGGAATGCGGGAGCAAGTTCATTAAATTTTTAATATTAATCAGACGAAGACTAATGTGAACAGCCAGTCATCATTCACAATACTACAACTACCCTATCAGTGTAAATGCCAGACAGTATCAGAGTTTAATACACATCTTCTCTCAGGCAAGGGCTTTATAACATACACTTAGGAGATTCCCCCACCACTTCATTTTGTGGATGGGAGAAAACTTTGTTCTTTTAAAACCAGAGGTAGAAGAGGTATGGAGCAAGAGGTTTTTGTGCCTGAGTTAGGAAAACAAGTGGAGAGTATCTTCAGCCCAACAACTCTGATAAATGGCTAGAATTATATTACAGGTAGTCCTCGACTTATGGACATTTGTTTAGCGACCATTCGAAGTTATGGTGCTGAAAAAAGTGACTTACAACTGGTCCTCACATACAACTGTAGCAGAGTCCCCATAATAATGTGATCAAAATCTGTGTGCTTGGCAACTGGCATGTATTTACAACAGTTGCAGCATCCTGGGGTCATGTAATTGCCATTTGCGACCTTCCCTGCTGGCTTCTGACAAGGAAAATCAATGGGGAATCATTTTATTCACTTAATGACCGCATGATTCACTTAACAACCATGTGATTCAATTAATGACCATGTTGATTCACTTAACGATCACTACACAAAATGTCATAAAATCAAGTGTGGTCACACGATGCCTTGCTTAACAACTGCTTAATGATGAATTTTCCAGTCCCTATTGTGGTCATAAGTTGAGGACTACCTGTAAGTAGCCAGGCAAGGTCCAAGGACAAAAAAGCAGAGAACTTTGCTATAGGGTTAACATTACTTCTAAGCAACAGATAACTGCTCTAGTTAGACACTGTGTTGTTTTAATTTATTTTAACTTTATGTGTTAGAAGCCTTATTCTCTCTTACTCTTATTTTTCTGTACAAGTAGGACATTCTATGTAATGCTAGATTGAGTTCAAGATTTGCTTTGCTGCTTTTTAATTTCTTGGGAGCTGATATTTAAGATAAAAGCCATTGTTCTCCCATGGTCACTAATTATAGTGGACTAACACTGTTCTGTGGTCTGCTGAGAACATTGTGTGGTTTTGTAAATTGGGCTTCATATATCATATCTGTTCAGTTACTTTTTAAAAAAATAAAGTTTGATTTTTATCTCTTGCCAGATTGATTTGTCTCCCTACCGGGGGAGGAAATCCTGAAACTGCTAGTTACACACCTTTATGTTACAAGTCCAGGAGATTACATTATAGATATTGTTTCCTCCCCGCCCCTTTGTTAACCTTTTATTCACCAGAGGGGCAATATAGATTGTGGGGCCCTTACCTCTCTCCCACATTGGAGTTAGCAGGAGGATGCCTACTAGAAGATAGGTGGTAACACAGAGAACTACCAAGATACACTAGGACAGGAGGTAGATCCAGGATGTGTAAATCTGGAGGGCTTCTGGGAGAGAGAGTTGAGACCTTTAACCTTTTTCCCTAGGCTTTCAAGGTATATATGGCATTATTATTATTATGGTCAGTTGCAGAGTCAGTCAGATGTTTAGACTGGATTTGGCATTTTTATCCACCTATTGAGTCTTTCCCAAGGACCTGGGATAGGCAGATGTTGTTTGATGGTGTTAAAGGTATCATAGCAGGATGTAAGCTGTTCCAAGTAAAGCTGCCTTTTGGAATTGACTGATGGTGATTTTGTCAATGTCTATTACTACTGGTACTATCTTTGCTTTCTTTTGCCACAG